TTTAAATCTGAACTGTCACGTAATAATTTCTTTTGCAAAAATATCAACAATCTACAGGTTACTGAATGCACATGTTCGGTAGCTATGGAATCAGAAGGATGCAAACAAGGCTTGAACAGTCTTCTTCAAACAGGTGTTGGCGTGGACCTTGGGACCACTAATAGAGCTCTCTCCATGTAGAGTTATTGCTACATTTCCCATGAATTTGACCCATGACATCATAAAGGGTATTTGTTTTTTTATAAAATAGATATTTAGATTTGTGAATGACCAACAAGAAATAGATTTGACATCTAACAAGTGCCAATAAGTAATGATCTCTAAAACACTGAACATTAGGGGTGCAGGAAAAACTCGATTCTTAGATGCATCGCGATGCGGACGTGAACGATTCTGAATATTTAATTTATAACGTAATGTTGACGGAACACAAAAGGCTGAACTGGAAGTGGGTAAGTGCAGCGCCCGGACAGTCTGTGGCGGCACATAACAAAAACACCACTGGATGAGCGAGAAATCCGACCGGCTCCCTCTGCATTAAAAGCCAGGTTAGGTCAGGAGTCACAGCACAAATGTTAAGAAGAGACATTTTGCCTTTCAACAAAAATCAAACCACCTTGGGAGCCACAACATATAATGTCCAGTATGTCTCAGTGTGTGCTGATGTCCTAGTCTGGGCTAAAAATATAAATGAGAGCGCAGATTTACTCTACACTGCTTTAAGCTTTAGCTTTAGCCGCTTTCCTCCCATCTCCGCCAGAAAACCTTTCTTCAAAACTAGAAGAGTTTCCTGTAAAATGTCCGGCTGTTTTACGAGGCTGAAGTCGCTTCTCATTCGCCAGTTTCTCGTTCTAATTTTCCCGTTCCACCTTAAATTCTTAGGCGCCGAATGTAACTGCTGCACCATTTAAGGTGGAACGGGAAAATACGACAGAGAAGCGAGTTCATTTCGCAACTTTTTAGAGAAAGACAGTCTCTCAGCAGATTTAACCAACCGCGCTGCTTATAAATGCGAATAAGTCTCCAAATGTCCGTCTTAATCTGTTTTTTCGTTCACTACTGGCGAGGCCAGACCTCGGGGCTGTGTGACCTGCTGTCTGCTGTCTGTTCTCAGTCGTTGAGAACCAGGGCTTTCGCGCTATGCTGCTCACTGCTCACTCCAGTCTCGAAAATACATCCGAAGCATGTATCTAATGATTGCTCCATCACATTTGCGGGGTCCACCGATGGATGGAGAATGGTGAAGAATAAACATGTAAATAAACATCTCCTCATCTCGTATTCAGACACCACACTGTCTGAATATGCGATGAGGAGAAAGAAGTGGATTATGTACGACACACCTGCATACAGGGCTGTTTCCTCAGTCATGATGGACAAAAACCTTCTTAGAGATCTGCAACAAATGGCACACTTCAGGCATACGAGTAGGATGAACATTAACAATGACCCAATTCTCCATGCTAAATCCCTGATTTCATATCCATCCATTGTCTGACTTAGCTCAAGGAAATATATGGAAATTGACAACAAAAGCTATTTTCTGCACATATGCCTGCTGCAATTAAAATCTTTCTGGCAGTATAAAAATCAAATCTGTGTGCAGTTGCAGATTATACTGTTAGTCATCAGTCATTTCCAAAGCAAGTGGTTCTTCCAATCCAGGACAAATAACTGATCATGCTAATTTGCTATACAGTGAGTTTTTTGATATCAGGATTCCTGGTGGTCTATCTTTCTCAAGTGGTGAAGTACACCCAGAAATGACCTGGGTGTACTTCACTGCAATATTGAATCACAATTTGAATGTCAACCAGCATCAGGCAACCACAAGATCAGGTCTGTCATTTACCTTCACTGAGCTATGACAACTTCACCTTATATGTGTTTTGGAGAAGCATGAATGGTTAAAACTGCACTTGCTGAGCCTAATGCAGGTTATTCTATTTGAAGAAAAGAAGGTGAAAGCTATATAAGCGCCATAAATTAGGTTATTGCCTATTTTCGCCAGACATCACGAAACACTGCCCCGAAACCACTGTCTGGCTACTGCCTTCACTGTCTAGGATGGGGCTACACAAACAGGCATTTTCCATGGCACTTGCGAAGTCATATCATAGACTCCTGAGTTTTATTTTCTACATCCACATATTATCCGTACGGTGAACCAACAACCAGATCATTCTTTTTTCACTGTTTAGGTACACCGAAATACAAGATTGTTTTTACAAACCAAACCAAAGACTGGATTGCCAAAAAAGAGTATGCTCCTGCACAACAAACATTCAGAAATAAACTAGTAGAAAGAGTACTGGAATGCCGCATGGATATAAATGTAAAGCACAAAAATTACGCATCCCGTTTTTTCATATCTCCACACGTCCCAGAAATACTGCACCTATCTCAAGATCAAACAAGGAGGACGTGATCAAGCATTACAAGTCTCATCTCCAGCAATGTTGAATCATTAGATAAGGGTCTTTGTGAATGACCACACAACACAGCAACACAGGCATTCAAATTTAGTAGGCATGGGAGGACATCTGCTGCACCGACACCACCAATTTCCATTCATCCTGGGTTGTTCTGCTTCAGCACCAGCAGGTTCAGTCTGTCTCTCCATTTTGGCTCTCTCTTTTTCAAGCCTTTACAACTCTTCCTTTGTGTATTCTGGTTCAAATTGATATAGCTGTCTGACATTTTGGAAACTGACCTCCTCAAAGTCTTCTGCATATTCTGCCATCTTCAAAACTGTAAACAAAAGCCGCTGCTGGCGTTAGCCATGTTGAACGACTGCTGCTACAGGCTAATAACAACAAAAAGCATGTTAGCCTGCGCGCATTGATCTCAGCTGAAATGCATTTTTGAGAGGAAACATGGAAATGAACCTGAGGTAATACTTTATATTAAAAATACGATTTAAGCTAAAACTTTATAACAAAACTATCACAAAACACTGTCTCAGGTATCAAGCAACACATTCATAACCATTTTGTGTAATAACTTAATGGGATGTGGCTTGTAAAGCCATTAAATGCATCAGCGTCTGGTTCTTGTACTACAATGGTGAAGAATTTTGACTTGGTAAATTTTTCTAGAGAGACACATTTCACACTGAACCACTCTGAATGATTTTGTTTACATCTAAACCACTGAATGACTAAGTAGTTTTCCAAAATTGGTTCAAAGCCAGGTGTGAACAGGCTGGAGTCTGTTAGTCTCAGTTTTTATATCTGTAGTTGATTGATGGACGGCAGCTTCACACCAGCAATCCTCTCCTGACCATACGATTCCCAGCAGTTCCACCCTCTGTTTGAGGTCCTGGGCAATAGGCCCTTTTCACATTTCCATTTTTCTGCTGGAAGTGCTCATTTCAGGGTAACGCTGCTTCCGCTAATGCAATAACTCAAGTGTTCAAGTTTAAGCAAAATCAGCCTTATATCAGTTCCAGTGGTTTGTCAGCTGACGATGAGCAGAGGAGAAATGTTTGTGCATTTAACAAAGGAATAAACTTTGTCATATGAAGTAAAAGTACCACGGTGTCAGCATTTCAGCTTTGCTAACCTTACACTGAATGCAGTTTGTGCTTTAGAGTTGCTGTTTCAGCCACTTTCAGAGAAACAGTTTTTATTTTACTCCCTCAAAATCTGTCAGTATCTGAGAGAGCGAGTGTTTGGCAAAGAGTAGATGTTCATTCACTGGAACTGGTTAGTGGTGGAAAACATCTACAGTGGCCCTACAGACCCTGATGACCCAGCGTGCCCCCTGCCAGAACGTACACATGTTTATCTTTGTTGTAACTAGTTTATTGTTAGTGAGCTGTTTCAATATCTCCAGCCAGCATGGCCTATGTAGCATGTTTGTTATAGTTATTTTCACCTCCATCGATTTATCACTCTGTAGACGTTAGCTGACGTTACTGTATTCTGATAGCTGTGAAGGAGTTTTCCACTAATCTTTTATATCCTTATTTAGTTTGGATTACAGCATTGTTGTGTGTTTGGTTCTCCAACAGTTCTGAACACATCTTCTAAATTCCATTCCGGTTATTAACTGCGTGAGTGGAACTTGTTTTCTAACCAGTGTTTATGCACTTCTGTGTCTTGTGAAAAGGGCCTTTTACGATTCAGAAGAATTGGAACTGCTATTGATCTATTGATGGCTGGGTGGAAGAGGGAGCTCTTGTGAAATCTACAATTATCTCTAAAGATGATTCTGCTCCAAACTGTTAAAGCTGTATCAGGTCACAAGCTGTATTTCATAAGTGTCCAGTTAGTGCTGTACCTTCATGAAACTTCACAGTCTTCATACAGGAGACTTTGGAGCTGGTAAAAGAAGGACAGAGTTCAGGGAAGAGCACAGAGTCTTGAGGACCTCTGTGGTTGAGGTCTTGTTACCACTCTCTTAGGAAATATGGTTCTTGAAGGGTTCTTTAGTAAAAATAATGCTTCTATATAGAACCATGAACAATCAGAACCATTTACATCCTGAAATGAATGAATGTGTTGTATATGGTTCTGTAGTTCTATTGTATACAAGCTTGACATCATATAGACGAACGCTTTTTGGTGCTATATAGAACTATTTTCAAAAAGGTTCTATATGTCATATACTAATTTCTGAAATAATTAAACAAGCACTGATGGTGTTTCTTTTGCATATTGTTTTTTAAGTTATTTATTTATTGGGTAAGTATTCTAAAAGTATTCTCCTAAAAATGTAAAAAGTAACCATTTTCTGCCATTTTCTGAATTCTGCCTGTACAAAATGTACAAAATGATACTTAATTTCTGAATTCTAAATACATTTCCCCAATACTTCTATTCCATTATATCTGAAATCTGACTGCATCAATGCGAAGGGGGGCTACTGAAGACCCTAACATAGAAAGCTGGTGTGTCATCACTTTTGTCTGGTACTGTGTGCAACTGTTACATGTTGCATCACTGTTTGAAGTCCATGAGTAAACAGTAGTGTTGGATTTACGGTAAGGGGGTGGAGGGTGGGCTTGCTGAAGTTGAGAATGGGTTAATATTTAAAGGATTTCAATCAGTTTCTCCACTCCAGCCTGTGTCCTGTTGAGAGCTCCCTGCATGTAAGTAGCATTATATCACTAAACAATAACAACTAGCAATTAAAGTATTACATTAATAAAATATGACATTACATATTACATTGAATACAGATGAACTTGATTTTTGTGATGTAATTCAATTTAACTTTGTTATTATAATACATTTCTATAAGAGTGTGCATTATAAGCTAAAGCATGTTACACTAATGTCAATGTGAAAAACTTGATCAGCACTTTACTGGTTTGTCCTTCTGCCACAACCTGATTACTGCACTGCTGTTCTCACCCATAGCATTTTTACCTTCATCTAAAGTGATAACAATTACAGCAGCATTGCAGACCATGGCTTTAAGCATTACTGTTATTTTTATGGTACTGTACAGGTAAAGAAGTTTACATTGTATAGTAGTCTGTAATGATGCCAAAATATAGCCTCAGTAACTGCACTACTATTGTTCAAATACAGATTAAGGGTGTTCTCTCTGTCCAGGAGATAAAATGTGTGGAAAGATCTCTTGCTGTTTCCTGGTTTCCCTCCTGCTGACGGTGACGTGGGCGGCCCAACATGGTCATGAAGATCATTCAGCAGATCACCATCAACATCTCCACCATGGCAAGGATGAACCTCACCCCAGCCACGATGGAGATGAGGACTTGTCCCACAGACTCGCCCCCCACAATGCTGACTTTACCTTCTCTCTATACAGGAAGCTGGCAGCCCATCCAGAAACTCAAGGCAAGAACATCTTCTTCTCTCCACTGAGCATCTCCATGGCTCTGTCCATGCTGGCCCTGGGAGCCAAAGGTGAAACCCACTCACAGATCTTCAGCACCCTGGGCTACAGTGCCCTCACTCCTGATCAGGTTAATGAAGGTTATGAGCACCTTTTTCACATGCTGGGCCACAGCCAGGACGCCATGCTGCTGGAGGCAGGAAGTGCTGTAGCCGTCCGAGAAGGCTTCAAAGCTGTAGACAAGTTTCTAAAGGATGCTCAGCATTACTACCAAGGAGAGGCCCTCAGTGTGGACTTCTCCAAACCTACAGTTGCTGAGCAGGAAATCAACAAGTACATCGCCAAAAAGACCAAAGATATGATCACTGACATGATCAAGGAACTGGACCAGGACACTATGATGATGCTCATCAACTATATATATTTTAGAGGTAAAGTAGGCACCTAAACATTTCATCAGAAATTAATATCTTTTTCACTCATATGAGGATTTAATGTAAAAGCAGCCATAACATGCTTTGAATTCTGCCCTCTAAGGTAAATGGAAAAAGCCTTTTGACATAAAGTACACTGAAAAAGCAGATTTCCATGTGGATGAGAACACCACAGTGACGGTGAACATGATGAGAAAAGAAACCTATTACGAGTACTACAGGGACCGGAATAATTTCACTTCGATCATCATGGTCCCCTACAAAGGGGACACTTCCATGATGATTGTTCTACCTGATGAGGGAAAAATGCAGGAACTGGAGAAGAACATCGACAAGGATCATCTCAAGTACTGGCATGACAAATTATACGGAAGGTAACACCAGTCATCAGGCTTTTAATTTCAGTTAGAACATTACAAAGAAATTACCTACAAGTAACATTCATTTCCTATTGTATTTCTTGTCAATTTAGTGTTTTCATATTTGAAGGAAATTACATTAGGATTGTTTATTGGGAAATTGTATTGGGTATAACACTTGGGCTGGATGCAAGAGTGAATTAGTTTTGTTTACATTAGATTTCAGAGTCAATGAATTCATTGCTGAAAAAAAGAGTGGAGATATTCATATAAATTAAACAATACAGAAGAACAAAGAGCCCCAGTCATCTCTCGGGTTGTATCCTCTCCCTCGGGTTGCCACAAAGAAGAGACTGAGAACTCAGTCTTCCTCCCCATTTGCGGCAGAACTCCTTGGGTCAATCTTTGTGCTATTGCAGCTGCTACACTCCCACAGCCGCTCTCCGTTTCCTCCGCCGACCAACATGCCGTAAACGTCTGCGAGAGTGCTGCTTGTGTGTGTCGGAGCCCCAGCTCAGCCTCAGCCAGCCATGTCACTGGTCCCTGCTCAAAGCTTTGCTAGAGGGCCGTGGTCAAAGCCGTGGCCTGTGTTCTGCCATCTTCGCCCCCGCCCTCGCTGTGCTGCTTTTTCTTCCGCTGTCCTCTGCCAGTTTTGGTCGTTTCCACCATTCGCCTTTGAATTTGTGGAAGCGCCCTCTCCAGACTGCAGGGCGGTACTATCCCACTTCTAACACCAGTGTGGTATCAACATAGGACAAGATGCGGAAAACATGCGCTTTTATCGAATGCTCTTTTATTGAATGGCAGCAAAGGAAAACTGCTGCTCAGTGCTACTCCAACAGCCGAGAAAGCAGGCAGATTAATACACTTTTAACAGGTTATCAGTAACACATGAACATATCAGTGAAGTAGCAGTAGTGAAGCATCTGAATACACTGAAGTAAATATCTTATAACTGCTCTGTTAATAACATTACTTACATTAAGTAAATGTTTTGTTAATGTTACTTTCATTACACAAAACCTAACTTTACCCAACCTTACCCTAATCCTAACTCCATGTGTTTTTGACGTTACTGAGAGTCTGTTACATCTAAAAAGGGCCACTCAAAATAGTCACCATACCAATTAGCATAATAAGCACATTTTAAACTAACAGCAACACCTTATTTACAAATTCCACAAGTACAGTGCCTGCTGCTCTGCATGGCCACACTTTCCGCACTATGCTACAATATTTTAGCGTGTGTTATCTACATAAAAACAACAATACATAGTGCTGCTTTAACAGGGATTCATGAGTGTTTGGTAAATGTCTTTTGTTTTCAGCAAACAGTAGTTTCACATATTTATTTGTTCACTTATTTGGGTACTTACATAAGAGAGACAGAATAACAAAGCAAATATGTTTACAGCCAAAGACGTCAACATAGGTTTTTAACAACCACCACAGGAGATTATTATCAGGCCAACAGGCTCTTCCAGTAATATTCAGGCTATATGTTAGGCTTCAAGATTTAAACTTTTGTTGAAAGCTTCACTAAAAACCCAGCTTCACAGTAATGTAACATAGCAAATCTTGTACAGTCACTTGTGGGAGTTGGCATTACTGCAGCGGCGGTAAAGGCATAACTGAAGTCTGGCTACAAAGTGAAATTTTGGGTTGATGTCCGAGCATTTTATGTGCCATTCAATTTATTCAAAAGTTTGGTTTGAAGCAGTCTGTAGCAAGTTAAGAGATATCTGCCTGCCACTACACAACATGCAAAAACAGTCTGTGACCGGTTGTTTTGCATATCAGTCAAAAAGCCACATCATGTCAAATTAGATGTTTTTTGGCCATATTGAGTAACAAAACCTAGCAGACTCTGTGATGGCTTGTAATTCTAATGGAAAACCTGAGCCTTCATCATTTACGCCAGAACAGTTCTACCAAGGGGGGTTCTAACCTCTCAAAACCTTCACTTTGTAAGGAGCCTTTGTTCATTGCCATCAGAGGAGTTCTAAAGGGAAGGGGCTTGAGAACCACTTGAGTTTCTGTAATGTAATTATCAGAGTAACAGCTTAACAAACACACATTGTTTTAATGAAGACACACATTGTTTTAATGAAACCATGCTAAGAACATGTAGGGTTTAAGCCCCAGTGCCCCACCACCACCACACCTCCCAGCAACACCAGTAAGTAGTGCAGGGAGCCACATTGCCATGTGGGAGTAGATAATTTGTAAGTCAAGATTGAAATAAACCTTTTCTTGTCATTTTCATTTTTTAGCCTTTAGATTTTTCTGTCCAGTTGCCAAGAATCCCAAAATGATGATTTTGTGATAAAGTGACTTTAAGAACTTTGAAAGATTCCTCTGTTCTGCTGTGCAGATATGTGAAACTCTTCATGCCCAAGTTCTCCATCTCTGCCTCCTTTTCACTTGCGGACACTCTGATGGAAATGGGAATAGTCAGTGCGTTCTCAAGCAGTGCAGACTTCTCCGGGATCAATGAAGAGACCAACCTGAAGGTTTCCAAGGTAGAGAGATCTAAAGATGTTCATCATATGCTTGTAGGCTAACTTAATGCAGCCTAGATGAAGGTACAGTGCATTTGTGGCATGCATTACAGATCTAGAGATAATCCTTCACCTCACACAGATTCATGACTTCCCCACAGGTCCTCCATCAGGCCGTCCTCAAAGTTGATGAGAAGGGCACTGAAGCAGCTGCTGTCACCACCTCATTGAAGATACCTTATTCAGTATCTCCCACCATGAACGTCAACAGACCCTTCCTGGTCTTCATTGTGGAGGAAAGCACCAAGAGCATCCTCTTCATGGGCAAGATAACCAATCCCACCGCATAGAGGCAGCCAACTCCCACCCACACTAGCAGACCTAGATGACTGTTGAAATGCTATTGGAACACTTTCATTTCAACAAACAGCAGATCACACAAAAGCCATACTGACTGTATATGAAGTTAAGGGTTAAATTCATGAGTCCACATGTAAAATGTAACATGAGGGAAGAAGTCCCTCATGGTAAGATGTCACCACCCTCTCCTAGTTTATCTTCTGTTTAAACCATTTTGTAAATGTGAAATTACCATCTGAATTATGGCATTCCTGAGATTTATTCCTGTGGAAACAGTCAATCTTTTTTTTTTTTTTTTCCACTGGATAATAGAGATGTATGGATTACATAAGAAACATATTTTGAAATACATCACAACAGAGGGATGTGAAAAAACCTAGTTAGAAGTTAGACCTTAATTAAACCCAATATATACTGTTTAATTAATAAACAAATGGCATGTATCAGATGTTTTTGTTGTTGTTGTATTATGTCAAAACTATTAACACACAAATTAGTTTAAAAAGTTAGACTGTATATATTATAATATATATTAGAATATATTAGAATATTCTTAGTGTTTTATTTTGAGGAATACTTTCTGAAAAATGGAAGAAAAGAACAGACTAGTAATTATTAATGAATAATAATTGACATGTCAAGATTACATCAGGTTTTGTGCTAGAAAAACACAATTGCCTGCTGATACTGTTTATTGTCTCTAAGTGTGTTGAGGTTTCTGCTTCACCATCACAATCACAGACATGCTAAAGTCATGTATACATGCAGTTTAGCTCTAGACTTAAGACATTGTTCATATGGGGGACTTGTGCACCCACTTTCTTCTATATTTGGAAATAAAATGAGCAATTTGAATGAACCTGTACATTGTTAGTGTTTTTGTCAGCCAAATAAAATCAGGCAGGTTGTGAACAGAAATAAACACATTATGAGGAATGCTATAATTTTACAGGAAAATGACATCAGTTAGTCAAAACAGTTGGGAAATGAGACACATCCGTGTGGACTTTTATACGTGATGGTGAGAGATTCTTAAAATGGTTCTTCAGACAGATGGAGAATGAGTTGTACATGGCTCTATATCGAACCTTTTTGAAAAAGATTCTATATAGCACCAAAAAGGTGTCTGCTATAGTTATGACATCAAGTTTGTAATGATAGAAGAATCCTTTCTGGTGCTATAAAGGACCATATACAACACAAAGAAGAACCATTTTATCATGTAAAGAACAATGTAATCATGCAAATGGTTTGTTGAGTGTCTGTGGTTCTATGTAGAGCAACTGTGTTTACTAAAGAACCCTTGAAGAACCATCTTTTTTAAGGGTGTTGTAACGGGTTTTGCCATTTTTAATATTATTATTGCTAGAACCTTATGTGAGGGTGTGAGGTAACCCGGATTTATTTGAAGTCTACAGACCAGGGCAAGAGAGAGAAACGCTCGCACCAAGGATGCTTCAGAAAAGGGGAATTTATTGGCTAAATATCAAACTACTTTTGGACTACATTCAATGATAAACAATAGAAAATAAAACAAGAAAACAAAACAAAACAAAGTGATAGTAATGAAAGACAAAATAGCTCGAGTAAGCTAAGAGTGATTCACGGCTAAATGGTATGAGGCAGTGTGGTTTGGGGAGTTGCTTGGGAGAGGCTCTAGAGAATTAACCTAAGCCTGGACGGGAATAACTATATGGCTGGATGTACCTATAAAAGTTCTCTTATTAAATAAATTGGCGTCAGGGCCCTGACTGCAAATTGATGGTTCCAGCTTACGCTGGAGTCGGGCTGACTTCAGGAGGGGGCGTCTCAGGACAGACTCGATCGAAGGCTGGAACTCACACGGTGGTTCCTCTCCTAGCTGGCCGTGGACGCTGCATCTCTGTGCGGGCACGCGCCTTCCCGTCAGTGATTGGGCGGAGGCGTCTCGTGGCCGTCTGACGGTGGAGCTTGGGCAGCCTTTCGATGGTCGATCTGTTCACAGATCAGTGCGCGGCTCTGGGTGCAATGCTGGGTCTCCGTGGCGTCCGAACTGCTCCCACTCCACTGGCGAGGTTCAGGTTGCAATCAGGGTTCTGAGGCTGGTGATACTAATTTAACTAACTACCTCTCTTTAGCAGAATTGAAAGTTATGGATATATCCTCCCTGGCCCGACAAGAAATATCCACCTTCCTTCTCTGAGGGTGGTTCAAACTTAAGGTGTGTAGACGAACAGGCAAGTTACAAAAAAGGTTTCAGATCTGATAATTTAGCGTCCTAATACTTCTGACCTGTCTTTCTGACCAAGGCCGGCACAAACTTAGAAACCTAGCTATCCTTGTGTTCCGAACGCAGGAATCTGCACTCAAATTTGCGGTGCACTCTGGTTTTGCTCGGCTGGAGGCCCTACCCTTTGGAGGTGGAGCCAGAGTGTTGATAGGTTCTCCTCACCTAAGGTTACTAGCTACTCACTGTTTCCAACTCTGATTGGTTGTGCATAGTTTGAGGAATGCCTTCCCCAGAATCACTGCCTTCTTTGTTTCAGCTAGTTTAAACAAAGAAAAAGAACATTTCTATATCATCAAATTGGTTTAACTTTCAAAATCAAGGAATGAACAACTAGGATATTCAGGCATGTTTCTAAGAGAGAGTTTAACCCTTGTTACCTGATACACAACATGTCAAAGAACACAGGTACTATTTGCCTATCATATCTGAACATGATCCATTGCATGAAAAATAAAATCGACAATAAAAGGAAAGGAACAAAGGAAGAAAAGGAAAGAAAACCACATTCAGGATACATCTTGGTCAATGGTCTAAACTCACAGCAATTAAATGGTTGGGTCTGACTGTTATCAAAGTTATACACTACGTATTTCTAGCACTTAATAGTAGAAAAAGATACAGGTAATATTTAGGTACTAAACAACAACAAGATTAACACAACAAGTAGTATTACTTACAGATTATATAAATGTTGATAATCAAGCAGACAAAGCAAGAAGTTTCTTGGGTTCCTTATAAGCACATGTCCTTACAGTGGTGATGTGGTAATTTGCGGTTTCACCCCTTGGGGGTGCTGTGGGTCCATGCTTGAGATCCCTAGGGAATTTAGAAAGTTGGAATTTTGCCGTCCAAAGTCGTACGAGCTCCATTTTGGTATGTCTAGTTTAGTTAAAAAGAGTTCTAATGAACGGTTGCAGTTTGGAGTGGACATATACCTTAGAAATTTACTTTCTGTTACTTAGAGATAAAGTTGTCCACAGGACTTTGGAGGGCCATGTGGGCAATATTCCAGGAAGGCGTTGTCCTGTTGCCCTCTAGGTCAAGGGAGAGGGGTGCTGGTTCTTGATTCAGCTGTAAATCTGACTGAGTCTGGGGTTGGGGGTGTTAAGCCGACAGATTTACACCTCAATTCCAGACTTGCTGGAGCCAAAAGGCTCTTAACTTTGGGTTGTTGATACGTTAGAAACACTAACCTAGGGGTAAGGTTTCAGCCAGTGTTCGTTACAGTGTAGAACAGTTATTTGCTGAAATGAGTAGACTCCTGATATCCATTGTGAAAAAAAACAAAAAAAAAAAACAAAATCAAATGAAAAGAGCAAAATGTAAACACAAACAAAAACACTGAGGAACATGAACAAACTAGAACTAAACCTACAAAGGAACAAGTAAAAACCACAAAGCACACGGCCATATTCATCACAGGGCTCCAGACTGAAACTAAAATCGCAAGTAATAAAATTAATTAACTCGTCAGTGGCAACAGGTAGCAACTTTGGATTATCATTTTTATGGGTAACTATTTATTACTATTGTTCTGTACTTATTTTTTGTTTTTATGTATTTTCTTTTATCATTTTTCGTCCTAAAACCTCACCGATAGATTAGAGCGTCACATGGACTCGTCCGCCTATCAAAAAACACGCCTGCGTGCTCGCGAGACTTCAACCAGAGCGGCAAAAACGGGACAAACAAAGCAGCTCAGCTTCTTGCAGTTCATGTCAGCGTGTGGAAAATTGTGAAGTATCATATTTTTCACACAGTCTGCGTCTCCGACAGACCTTAAGAGGTCATCTGCTCAACCCCAGTCTGACTCAGGACCAGTGAACTTGTGAAAGACGCACACGAAGATGTATAAACAACTGTCCTCTTCAAGCACTTCATACAAAAGTACAACCACAGAAAGATTTCAGAACTTATTGGCTTCAGGAATTTGCGTGTCTCAGGTATGATAAGAGAAAGCAGACTATATTGCGAATTCTGTTCGAAAGCGAGCCAAGATACAGCTGGAAAAACGACGGTGAAAAAACATGGCGAGAGTCGAACGCATAGAAGCGCACGCAGTTTTATCATGTCAAGAGTGATCCTAGGGAAACTCCCTTAGCTCGTGCAGTGTCTCGTGCATGCGAAAAAACAGCCGAGAAAGAATTCAAAGAGGTTTAAAAATAAATTTGGCACAATCCTCCCAAATCTTGTTAATGAAAAATAGCGGACTGGATGTGTCGAGAATCAGGCACGGTGGAAGGCAGAGATACTTAAAGGGGAATTCCACCGATTTTTCAAAATCTCTGTACAATTCAGTGGTTGAGATATAAACAGTCGTTCAGATTTTTTTTTAATGTGAAATGGTTTATTTGCAGAGAACAGACTCATGTTCTTACAGTGGCGGTGAGTCGCCATGACTACAACACAAATATAGCCATTTTATTTACTATCCCAAACCATCAGTGAACCTACACGTGTCTTTTGAGTTTTTATGTAATGTTGATGATAGTAAAATAGTGGCAAATTTGAACATTTTTTGGGGACTATTTTGCTCCAAACTGTTAAAGCTGCATCAGGTCACAAACTCTCTATATTTCATAGGAGTCCAGTCAGTGTCACCTTCACCAAACTTCACAATCTACAGGAGTCTTTGGAGCTGCAGTTACTGGAATAAGAAGAGCAGAGTTCGGGAGGAGCACACGGTGTTGAGGAGCTCTGTGCTTGATGTCTTGTTACCACTCTCTTAGGAAATATGGTTCTTGAAGGGTTCTTTAGTAAAGACAATGCTTCTATATAAAACCATGAACACTCAGACCCCTTTACATCCTGAAATGGTTCTTTGTATGGTGAAATTGTTCTTTAGATTGATGAAGAATGTGTTGTATATGGTTCTGTAGTTCTGTTGTATACAAGCTTGACATCATATAGACAATCGCTTTTTGGTGCTATATAGAACTATTTTCAAAGTGGTTCTATATGTCATATGCTAATTTCTGAAATAATTAAACAAGCACTGATGGTGTTTCGTTTGAATATTATGTTTGTTTGTTTTTTTAAGTATTCCAAAAGTATTCACCTTAAAATGTAAAAAGTAACCGTATTCTGAATTCTGCCTGTACAAAACGTAACTTAGAATGAATACAGATACTTAATTTCTGAATTCTGAATACCAGTGGGGTCTCTGGCACAGAAAGCCTGGTAGGGTACAATAAACTGTAGGGGCAGCAGCCGACTCGTCAATGAAACTACACACAAACCTGATCCAAACACAAACGCACTCCATCACTGAAATCACAAATTCACAAATTAATGCAGGAACGGAAGTGGAGAACATGAGTGATATGATAATGACATTGTGACAGCATCGCATTACGAATCCAGAGTTATCTAGCGGTATATGATCATTGCGGTCTGCAAATGCATATCCAAAGCAACATATCAGAGCAGGGAAATACACTGCCTTCCAGGCGTTAGGAATAACACGCTTTGTAATAATGCAGAATGACTCACCAGTGACGTTCAATGCTCGAAAAGACAAGATGCATGACAATCTTTCAGCTGGGCAAACTCGTCAAAAACTTTTCTCTCCACCAATCCATGGAATGAAT